CCATATTTCAGCTATTGTAAAGAATGCTGCAGTGAACACAGGAGGACCAATATCTTTTTAGTCAGTGTTTTCATTTTCCTTGGATGAATACCCAGAAGTGGAATTGCTGGATCATGTGGTTCTATTCTTAATTTTTGAGGAAACTCCATACTGTTGTCTTGGTGGCTGCATCAATTTACATTTCCACTGATAGTGCACAAGTGTTCCCTTTTTCCAGTTCCTCCCACTACTTGTTATTGCTCATCTTTTTATTTTTATTTTTTACTTTTTTGGTATCATCAATATAAAATCACATGAGCAACATTGTGGTTACTAGGCTCTCTCCATTATCAAGTCCCTACCCTACCACATACCCCATTACAGTCACTGTCCATCAGCATAGTAAGATGCTACAGAATCACTACTTGACTTCTCTGTGCTATATACTGCCTTCCCCATGCCCCCCCACACACATTATGTGCTAATCATAATGCTCCTTATTCCCCTTCTCCCTCCCTTCCCACCCACCTCCCCCTCAGTCCCTTTCCCTTTGGTAACTGTTAGTCCATTCTTGGGTTCTGTGAGTCTGATGCTATTTTGTTCCTTCAGTTTTTGCTTTGTTCTTATGCTCCACACATGAGTGAAATCATTTGGTACTTGCCTCTCTCTGCCTGGCTTATTTCACTGAGCATAATACTCTTTAGCTCCATCCACTACATACTTTTCTTTTAAACAAACAGGAGCATACTATACATGCTCTGTATATTTTGTTTACCAGTACATCTTAGAAATCATTCTGTATCAGCACTTTTGATCTATTTTCATTCTATTTGATATTTAGTAGTATCACTGAAAAGATATACCACTTCTTTTTAACTCTACCAACAATGTCATAGTGAACATTCTTTTCATATGTCTTTGTAGGGAAATAAATATGTATTCCTAGGTATGGAATTCCCAAGTCAAAAGGTAGTGTTTTAATTGTGATACTGAATATTTGCCCTTCTAAAGGGTACCAGTTATTTTCCCACCACACTCTATTCCCTACAGTATATGAGAATGCTTATTTTCCCACACTTACGACTTTTTTTTTATTTGCTCACTTGATAAGTGAAAAATATCTTCTCATTTTATTTTTTTTAACTCAAATTTTGAAGGATACTGTGTATCCTTTCATGATTAGAAGCATTTTTAAAAAACTCTTTTCTGTAGAATATTTGTTCATGTCTTATGTACTTCATACATTTCCAGTGAGTTTTGAATCTTTTCTTCTTGAGAGATAGAAAGTGTCCACATAGTAAGGAATTTGGCCCTTTTTATTTCATACATGTTGCAAACACTTCAAAGGAAAATATGAAGAACTTTATTACAGACTGTTTTAAAGACAGCTGAACTAAAGATAAGATGGAATAGATGCTGGTAAGATTGTCAACTGGTACAACCTTTCTGGACCAAAATATGACAATATTTATCTAGAAATTTTTTTTTAAATGTTCATAATCTTTAAGTATAAGTAACCAAAAGTATAAACAAAGAAATTAATTTAAAATAATTAATATAATTAAATTGCATATAATTGTTATATAAATTATACAATATTATAATTAAAATAACTTAAAAAGAATTCAAATACCTCCAAATTTGAAATCTATTAAGTAAAAATGTTATTTCCATAGCATAGAACATTGTGTAGCCAATATAAATTATTTTTTCGAAAAAATTAAGTGATAGGGAAATGCTCACAATGCATTAAACAAAGAGGAGAAAGAGAAATTGCCTAAGTAACAAGATCTCCATCTTATTTAAATGAGACGGGAAAGGAAATAGACCAAAAGGTTATTTATGATCTTTTCTGTGGAATGAGATTATAAAAGAATTTCTTCTTTACAATTTTATCTACTTTGTAAAATTTCTCTAAGAAGCATATAATTTTTGACATATAACATAAAATTTACCATTCTAATCATTTTAAGTGTATAGCAGCTTTAAGTACATTTACACTGTTGTATAACCTTCACCATTCACATTCAGAACTTTTTCATCTTCCCCAAACGAAACTCCATCCACTTAACACTAACTCCCCATTTTTGCCCCCCCACCTGAGCATGTATTTTCATAATCAGAACAAACTATACCAACTTCCTTTAAATCTCTTTACTTTTACTTGTATCAGAAACCTGTATTACTATTATTGCTGAGCTTCTTAGCAGCCGAGGCAGAAAGGGAAACATGATGAATTACATAGTTCTCATTGACTGACACAGAGAGTTCATAAGTTTCTCTAGGCCAGTGCTTCTTAGCTTCTTTCTGTTCCAATATACCTAAGGGTTACTGTAACCTCCCACTAAGAACAATGGTTTATTAATTAAATCAGTGACTCAACACACTGAATGGAAGATGGGAAACAACGTAAGAAATGGGGGGGTAGTGAGCACATAATTCTTATCCCCCCAGCACACACAAGGTAATTCAAATGTCAACATTTCTATCACCACCACTAGTTAAACACATACATACAATTTCTGCTGTAACAAATGTCACTAACACTAGAACCTAGAAGAAATATATCACGTGGATTTTTTTTATGAATGGCACAACCTAAAATAATAGAAATCTTTAATAACAGATGTTAGAAAATTCTTTCGAGTGGTCATTGTTTGTAGAACTTTTAAAGTACCAAGATATAATACTGAATTTAAAAATTTTTGAAGGGACTCAATACAAATAAACAGATCTATTATTTATGGTAATTGTTTAGATAATAGGGTAAGCTATAATCCAGATTCACTGAGGCACTCACTAGAATTCAAATGGCCCAAGGGCACAATTTTTTTTTAACTCATCTAACACTAGTGCCTGGAGCAGTTTCTAATATAACAGGTGATTAATACATATTTTTGAACCAACTATCAAAGGCTCTCATTAAAAACAAGATCTAATAATCTGCTTAGCAACCCAGTTTCAGAGAGTTTTAAGAACACATAGGACTTTGCAAAATGGCCATCCTGCCTAAAACAATCTACAGATTCAATGCAATCCCTATTAAAATACCAACAACATTCTTCAATGAACTAGAACAAATAGTTCAAAATTCATATGGAACCACAAATAGCCAAAGCAATCCTGAGAAGGAAGAACAAAGCTGGGGGGATTACACTCCCCAACTTCAAGCTCTACTACAAAGTCACAGAAATCAAAACAATTTGGTACTGGCACAAGAACAGACCCATAGATCAGATCAGAATAGAGAGCCCAGATATAAACTCCCATATATACGGCCAATTAATATACGATAAAGGAGCCATGGATGTACAATGAGGAAATGACAGCCTCTTCAACTGGTAGTAGCAAAACTAGACAGCTACATGTAAGAGAATGAAACTGGATTACTGTCTAACTCCACACACAAAAGTAAACTCAAAATGGATCAAAGACCTGAATGTAAGTCATGAAACCATAAAACTCTTAGAAGACAACATAGGCAAAAATCTCTTGAATATAAACATGATCAACTTTTTCATGAACACATCTCCTCGGGCAAGAGAAACAAAAGCAGAAATGAATAAATGGGACTACATCAAGCTAAAAAGCTTCTGCACAGCAAAGGACACCATCAGTAGAACAAAAAGGCACCTTACAGTATGGGAGAATATATTCATAAATGACATATCTGATAAGGGATTAACATCCAAAATATATAAAGAACTCATATGCTTCAACACCCAAAAAGCAAATAATCTGATTGGGTTGGGGATCTGAACAGACACTCCTCCAAAGAAGAAATTCAGATGGCCAACAGGCACGTGAAAACATGCTCCACTTCACTAATTATCAGGAAAATGCAAAATAAAACCACAAGGAGGTATCACCTCACACCACTTAAGATGGCCAACATTAAAAAGACAAGGAACAACAAAAGCTGGTGAGGATGTGGAGAAAGGGGAACCCTCCTACACTTCCCGTGGGAATGTAAATTAGTTCAACCATTGTGGAGAGCAGTATGGAGGTTCCTGAAAAAACTAAAAATAGAAATACCATTTGACCCAGGAATTCCACTCCTGGGAATTTACCCTAAGAAAACAGGATCACAGATTCAAAAAGACATATGTACCCCTATGTTTAATGCAGCACTATTTACAATAGCCAAGATATGGAAGCAACCTAAGTGTCCATCTGTAGATGAATGGATAAAGAAGATGTGGAACATATACACAATGGAATATTATTCAGCCATAAGAAGAAAAAAATCCTACCATTTCCAACAACACAGATGGAGCTAGAGGGTATTATGCTCAGTGAAATAAGCCAGGTGGAGAGAGACAAGTACCAAATGATTTCCCTCACCTGTGGAGTATAACAATGAAGCAAAACTGAAGGACCAAAACAGCAGCAGACTTATGGACTCCAAGGGACTAAAGGTTACCAAAGGGGATGGGTGGAGGAGGGTGGATGGGGACGGAGGGAAAAGGGGATTCAGAGGTATTATGATTGGCACACATAGTGTGGGGTTGGGTTACTGGGAAGACTGTGAAGCACAGAGAAGACAAGTAGTGACTCTGTGGCAACTTACTATGCTGATGGGCAGTGACACAATGGGGTTGGTTGGGGGACTTGATAGTATGGGTGAATGTAGTAATCACAATGTTGCTCATGTGAAACTTTCATAAGATTGTATATCAATGATACCTCAATAAAAATAAAAAAGAATACATAGGACTTTGGAGATCACCAACTTTAGTCACTTAGCCATAAACACTGAGAAATGAACTAGTAAAGGGAAAATGACTAAATATATAAATACAAACACAAGGCATTCTATACTGGCTAAATAGATTATAGTGTTAGAAATCTTAGAGAGTACATTATGATTTATAAAAATACCTCTAGGTCAGCTTCATATTTTCAAATATTAAAACCTTCTCAATATACAAAATGTCTAGTGCTTCATTAATGAAATTTCATAAATCTTAACTTGAAAATAACACACATGCACTTAAAATGTTCAAAGAAAGACAACTTACATAAAAGCTGCAAACAGTCATCCTTCTTTTTTAAGCGGTCTTTAATATCTCCTGATATGAGTACAGAATATGGACATGCCATTTCTTTCAAAAAACCACTTATCTCAAGCTGGAAGCTTTCTAGATCATCTCTCCCTTTAAAAAAGGAAAATCATAAAACATTTAGTGAATATTTACCATATACTCATATGATAACATCTACTACTAATTGACTTCAATTTTACACTCAATTCTAAATTTTCACTTTGACATTAAATTCTTATGTGTGACACCAAGTTTAGATAAAGGTAACCAAATAATTTCTAGATATAAAAAGCAATACTTAAATCAAGAACATGAGTATCTAATCATGAGATAAATCCCTGAAGATTTTTCCAATGGACTTTTCATATAAGCAGATAAACTGAAAATGTTTTATGTTAGTAAATGAAATATTGGAAGCATATTATGGCTATAACTATTAATTGGCTTTAGAGCAAATAATCCATTTCTATAGTACTTCTGTGGATTCAGACAATAAATGCAATCATCTAAGCCTCATTGTTTATCTTTCTTTCATAACCTAATTATGCAGAAATTTATGTCATATATTTTGAATTCAGCTTATTTTACTTTTCTCCAAGTGAATTCTATTAGGTTTGGCAAAGAAACAAGCAATTTAAAAGTAAGGATAGCTTCAGAGGGTAAGGTTACTTTGTTCTCTATCAAATACTCAATATTTTTTTTATTTTTCTTTTTATTATAGTATGAAATTCTACCAATCAAATAGTCATAAGGCCTCCAGTTACCAAGACAGTAACGAATTAATAAACATATTATGAGCCAATGCAGGAGTATTTATAAAAGTACTCCTATGTGAACCCATATCCTGAGTTACAAACATGGTAATACAATTTAAATTAGGTATTACATGGACTTACAAACAACTAATCCTTCATTCAAAAGAAGCAGTATTCAAAAATTAAACTTTTTAAATAGCCAAATTTAGACCCTACTTTTCTAAAGATTAATACTAAAGTTTAGACAGTTGAGAAACATGGTAATTGGTACATAGATTTAAGAATCAATTTGGATTAATATAAAATTTAATCCAAAGATATTTAATATCACATATTAAAGTTCTCCCTAAGATTAATGATTTTTCTTTTTACAGTGGGTACATTGTAGATAAAACTATAAGCCATAGGCTACCATTTCATTATTAAACAGAAACGTAAATAAAACACAACGGTAATACCAGCTGAAGTGATACTTTCTTCCAAGTTGCACAATGATTTTATTTGAGAGCCTAACCAAACACAGAGCTCTGAAAATTCAGGTGAAGATAGTCCACCCTCTGCTGCCTTCACAAGGGCTTGTTCTTCTAACAGTGGACCCTTATATCTAAAAAGAAAGACATAAAAAGTTAAATAAATCAATCACCTAATACTCTCTGTTAAGTTGTTGTGTAACAGAGCCAGTAACTATATCCACTTACAGACGGTCTGTCTGACTGCTTTCACACTGCAATGGCAGAGCTGAGTAGTTGTGACAAGACAGGACAGCCGGCAAAGCCTGAAATTTTTACTTTCTGGTCTGTTACATAAATGGTTTGACAATTTCTGTTCTATATAATTAACATTTGGCATTTTTTCCTGTATTTTACCATTTTTTAGTAAAATTATCAACCACTTTTAAGATAAATATTACATTCAAAACAAAGTCAAATAGAGCATTCTAATAACCTTATACTAGTTACAAGAAGAATATTTAGTGAATATATTATAATGAATATAATATGGTAAAAAAAGAATGGATGCAGATTTTGACTTAAAAAATTAAAGCTGAAAAGGACCTATGAGATCATTTTAACCTAAACCATTTATTATATAATTTTATACTTTCAAATACTAGTATAAGTATCTGAACAGAACCTTAAATTTTCCATTCATTCTCTATATTACATAACTGAATTGGATACCAGTTTTCTGCTTTTATGGTTCTTTCTGCCACTGTGCTTTTAGAAAAAAAAAAACTTTCAATTTTTAACATTTTGATGGATTTTAATCCACTGTAGTTATTTTTCTTTTGATGCTCAAACTGTCCTTTCTCTGGTTAGTGAAGCCCAGTAAGTCATTTGACTCACTCCTAGTACTATTTGAACACCTTCATTTCTTTCTAAGACAAGATGTTTCTGTCCTAAACCTGCAATCAGCCATTTTCTAAGCAGCCCCAATTCTTTTCAATGGTATTTAAAGTACACAATCTGGCATTAAAGGTAAGTCAGCTGTACCTATACCTTTTTAAGAGAAATTACATCAGGAGTTCACATTTCTATTTCCACTTCAAATTCAGAATTGTAGGGTTTTTACTTATTTTGTTTCAGGTTTTTATCTATTTTCTCTTACAATGAAAATTCTGGTTTCTAATGACATTTACATAATCCTAGTTTATATATAAACAAATACAAATTACAGTTTCAGAATAGGAAAACCAGCATTATTACTAATAATAAAATTACTAAAAACTATTTTTTATCTTCAGAATATATTGTTATTATATTTTGTTTTATTATACAGTAAGGATGTATATATTATGTTTTTTTATTATACAGTAAGAATGTACAAAAAAACAACTCCTTTACATGTGATTAAACCAGTTACTCAATATGTTGATGGATACTGTACCTTTAATTTTTAGGGGTTTATCTCTCTTCTTTTGTTTGGATTATTTTTATTTAATTTTGCTTTTATAATTATGTAAAACATTTATATGGTTTCAAAGTTAATTTACAAAACAAGGTATACTCAGACAAATCTAACTGGCAATCTTAATCTTGTTCCTTCTCCTCTGTTTCCTCCCTCCCCTGTAAGTAGCCATATATATTAGTTTTGGGTTGTCATTCCATGTCTTTAAGTATAAACATATATATATATATGCTTCTGCTTTTTTAGATAAAAGGCAGCCTACTGTGTACTGTTCTATTCCTTGTTTTACACACATACATTCACATATACTAGAGATTAGTAGAGGTACTACTCAACCATTTCTATAGTTGTAGAGTTCTCCACTGCCTTGGCTAACAATATTTTATTCACTATGCCCACTGAAGAACTTTTGGGTTGTTTGCAGTGTTTCACTATTATAAAAAATATGGGAAATTTTTGTCAGTGTATATCTGAGACACATTCCTAGAGATGGGATTGTTGAGTCAATGGGTAAACAGAAATGTAACTTTGCTAGATACTTTTTAAATTTCCCTACAGGGTTTATACAATCAAGGTATGAGAGTACCTTTTCCCCATAACTCACCAAAGTTGTCGAACACTTAGATTTTTGACCATCTGATGTCTCTGTATAGTTTTAATTTACATTTGTCTTATGATCAAGGCTGTACAACTTTTCATATGTTTATAGGATATTTGCATTTCTTTTTTTCTGAATTCTCTGATCCTATCTCATAAGGGATAAATATTTTTGAATCCTCCCCATTTTGCAGGTAGAAATTAAGGATTAACAATGTTAAGATAACTGCTTTAAGTACCAGGCTGGGCACAGTACTAGGCATATACACATAGAGATATTGATATTAATAAAAATATTTACTTTTTTCATTTAGTTTTTACAGCAATGTTTTGAAGTTGGCATTACCTTAATTTTGTAGGGTCAAAAGATAATTAACTAGTGATGACACTAGGATTAAAACCCAAATCTAACCCCAAACATTCAATGTGAACTCTTAAACTTCTGTCTACACTAATAAGAAAACTCAACAAATAACCTAGCCAGGTAATGCAGCCAGATAAAGGCATAGCTGGATCTAGACCACTCTTTCTGGTCCTGAATCTATGCCCACTGAAGGTGAGTTACGGGGGAACAGGTACTCTCATACCTTGATTGAATCAAGACTGATTTCCCGCATGGGTTACCTTTCCTCCATGTCCTACAGTGCCTCTCATTGAGATTTAATAGTAAACATATTATTTCCCCCTACTTGCTTTCATTTATGCCATAAAGAAATAATCATAAACTGTGAATAAATTTAACTAATTCATATTGTTGGGTGATGTTACTTTTACTGAAATGCTAATTATAAAATTCAACAAAAATTCATTAAATCATCCAAAATATTGAATTTAGAGGAGGGGGAAAAACCCCATAATCCATAATGCCTAAGCTCTTCAAATCAGGTAACAATAAAAATAAGAAAAAAATAAATGCATTTAGTAAATCTGAACATCTAATAGCAAACATAATTATAATAGCATGTATCATTTGTAAACTGCTGTTATGCTAGGCCAGTGCTGTGTGCTTTATGTATACAACTTTATTTAACTGCCACAATATCCTAAGTATATCCAATACATCTATCTAATAAGACAGGTATTATTATCATGTTCTTAGTTTGTTCTATATACTCTTATTTAATTAGGGAAGTGCTACTCTTATTCCAAACACTGAGAACAACTTCCAGAGCCATCACTGGAACCTCATTTGGTGGTCCGACACTACTTCAAGCTGGGTGATCCAGATCTTCTGTCCATCAGGGCCGCCACAAAGACACAGGCGAGAACCTAATTTACTGTTTTCTATTTCCATCAGCCAACATATAAAACATGAGACCCTTTCTTTCCCTCTGTCATTTACCCATCCTATTGGCTTGCCTCTATCCAGCTCCCAACTTCTTGCTTCCCAAACTCTTCCACTATGTTCCATCCATAGACAAATATCCTGTATTATCAATTTCTTCTCAGAAAGACCACCCTCCCACCTCTAGCTTTGGCAATTTTACTCTCTCAAATTCAAGGTCATCTGGCAGGGTTTTTATCCTCCTTGCTTCCCATATTACTCTCCCATTATCTTATAAATATCACCTGCTCAAAGCTCAGAGATTAGCCACCCTGTTTCTCTTGTGGTTTTTGTCCATCAATCTCTTGGATGCCCACCAATATTCCATGTGCTCAGTCTTCCTCCCCATTCCTATCTATATTGAGTTTCTTCAGAGCCGGTATGTACACCCTTATCCAAAACCCTGAGCTCTCAATTCCTGAACAACCTCTTTTCCAATCTTTGCCACTACATGTGAGTTACCCCTAGACCTTGCCACTGCCTGCAACTACTCCACCTCCAAATCACTAATCCAAACACGTCACTCCCGGACCAAACCCGGTACCTAACCTTTTAGCTTGCCTTTTTGACCACTTACCTACAACTATTCCTTAATCTCATCTCTACCTCCTCTCCATTGGTCCTGCATTCCCTATATTTACTAACTCCCTACTGTCTTCACTTTCTTCCTATCCAATTTAGGTTACAAAGTGAATCATTTCATTTTGGTGAGTCAATAGATACCTACTGAAGAAATTAATCTTTGATACCATCACCTCCTTCAGCTCTAATAACCAATCAATAACTAAGCCCTGTTAAGCACTTCTTTCCACATTCACTGCCAGTAAGCAACTATCGCTTCTCGTCTAGACTACTAACAATTCTCCACCTTGCTGACAGAGGTAACTTTTCAAACTAGACATTTAAGCTCTCCCTTTTTTATTTAAAATAGTTCATCATGTCCCATTGCTATTATAACAGAGAACAAAAGCCACAACACAGGCTAAAAGGCACTACATGCCCTGATCCTCACCTACCTCTTGAATCCCATCTTCCGTGACTCACCCTTGCTCTCCACCCTCCAGCCACATTAGTATCCTTCCAGTTCTGCTAATGCAGCAAGTTCCTTTCCACTTAAAGGTCTCCACATTTTGTTCTCATTTTAAGGACACCTTTTTTCCTCCTTTTCCATCCAACTTCACCTAATTTAACTCCCATTCACAATTCCAATCAACTCAAATGTTCCTTCCTCAGGAATCTATCACTAACCCCTAAGACTACATAGGTCCTCCTGGTCATGTTACGTCACCATGTTCTTTTCCTTTAAAGCACTTACTACAGTTTATGTGATCATTTCTGTTTCTCCACTAGATTGTAAGCTCCACAGGGAAAGGGACCAAGTCTATTTTGCTCACCAGTGACTTCTCAGAATAGTGTCCAATATAGAGTTGTGCTCCATAAATACCTGAAATGAACTTCTCTCCATAACAGTGGTTCTCAACCTACGCTGTAAAGCTTTTTAAAAATAGGCATGCTTATACTGCACTCCTGAAGAGCATGATCTTGTCAGTTTGTGGTATATAACAGACTGGAATGCTTTTTCACAAGCTCCGTACATGATTCTGATGTACAAACAGGGTTGAGCAGAACTATTCTACAAAGTTATATGTTGTCAGAACTGCAAGAGACTTCTGAAATCTGCTCCAATCCACTGCTTTCACAAATGAGGAAACTAGGTTATTCCTACCCTGTTTCCATTGCTATTTTAAATATACTATATATCACTAAATTGTTTTTTCACACAGATTTTCCCTTTTATTTCCTGTTTTATCTGACAAACTGAAATACCTTCACTAATATCCTAAATGTTTAATCACAAAATAGAAAACACATGATACACAATCTTTATGGATATTTTAAAAGTGTTCAATTACAATACACATTTCATTATCACTATATGAAAATTCAAATTTCAAAATCTTGTCTTCAGTTAATCCAGGTAAAGTGTGTAAACTGTCTGACTTTCTATAATGAATAACCTGAAACTTTCCTTCATAAAAGTCAAGATTTAGCAAGCTTCATTTTTCAATAAACAAATTCAAGGAATGAAGGAAGGGGGGAAAAAAGCATTGACTTTCCCTTTTTCATAAACTACGTTCAGAATCCCACTCTTCTTATCTGGAGTACTTGGGAACTCAGACTGTTTCGGGCCTAGTATCTTAACTTCTTGTTTTGGTTAACTTTCTGTTATGGAGCACAACTTTTTGTTTACTTGCTTAACCAAGTTAAGTGAAAATTTCCAAGGGATTTCACATAAGTAAAAATGCCCCCTAAATAATCACTGGCTCTGTTCTTTCATTTGACAAACATTCAGGATCTGCTAAGCACAAGGCTTTGTAATATTGGGTCACTGCAAATATTATCACCATCAGGTATTATCACCATCCAAAAGAAACAGTTGACAGAGAAGCAAGAGCAGTTTTAGGAAAATATAAAATGGGGTTGCAGTTTTAGATTGCACTCCAGTGCTGCAAAGGCACAGAAACTCCAGCCTGTGGCAGGGCAAACAATTGTGCAGATGGCTCCGATCTCTTTAATTAATATGTATTTTTTTTTGACGCTCAACTCCCTGGCCCTATGCTTACCTCCATGCATTCTCTTCTCTTCTTTGGAACTTCTCATTTACCTACCCAGCCAGCCATTATTTATTAAGCCAGACACCTGTTTTTCTGTAGCTAACTTTCGGTAGGGTTGAGGGGACGTTCAAGAGACAATAAATGCATGCGCAGGACAAGATAATTTGGGATATATTGATCCCCATACCTGGAAAGTATTAACATCATCCCAGGAGTTCTCATACCACTGACCACTCTGAACTGTAAATACCAGTGGAGTTTTTGTAGCCCCCAACGGCTATGTAAACTACTAGAAATCTGGAAACTGTCTTTTCCTCTGCCTAGTACACAAATATGCACTAATGAATACATTATCAACATCGAGTTCATATGCTGATAACGAATGGATCAAACGGTTGAATGAATGGACTCGCACTGAACGACAACACTTTCTCCGGACTAGGAAGCAGGGCAGATTCGTTCCCGAGCCCTAATTAAGCCACAGGTTGTACACCGTGGTAAACAATTCGCTGCAGCAGTCCAGGTTCAAGCACCTCTTCCGGACGCGACAACTATGTCAACAAAAATATCACCCCCGGGGTAGAGACCCGCTACCCCGCAGGACTGGTGCTCGCCGGGCCTCTCCGCGCCATCGCAGCAGGTCCCGGCTGTGGAGTCTCAAGGTATGTAGTTTGGAAGAGGGGGCGCGCACCCCAGCTCTCGGGCCCTACTCGGCTCCCCAAGCGGGCCTGCCTCCCGCCTCCCGCTTAACTCCGTCGGCGCCGGAGGGAGCGCGGCGGGGGAGGAGGCCTGCGCCGAGCTGCCCGAGCGCAGCGGCGGCCCACGTGGGGGGTGGGGGGCGGCTGCGGCAGGCAAGAGGAGGGAGAGCTTACGTCTTCGGAGGAAAGGCGTACCCAGGGATACTCACCCCAGAGCCTCTAACGTGTCCAGCACGTCCCCCTCCATCGTAGGTTCGGGACCGGAATCCGGCCCTCTCACAGTTCTTCGGTCCAAAGCTGTTCAGCGCTCTAAGAAGCCCGCCGGAAACCTGCGTCACTGCGCCAAGGTTCCGGTCGGGGTCCCAAGCAACTCGGCTTAGTGCCTGGGACAGGTTCGTAAAGGTTCCCCCGCCGGGAGGCAATCGACACAGAGTGCCTAAAACCGCTATATGTAATAATAACTCTTAAAAATACTACTAAATCGTAGTAATGCAAAGGCTTCTTTATGTTGGGTTTTATCTGTACAATGAAATCAATCTTAGCAAACATCATGATTCTACCCAAGGTGTTCTCAACCTATCAGACTCCAGACCCTTCTGCTTATGACAAAAATGCTGAAATGAAATAATTATCTTGAGCTAAAATGGTACATAATACCATGTAGCCACATAAAATTTTTAAATCAATATGCACAGCAGTGCTCCAACTTTAAAGAAGAAATAAAGGGAAGTTAATCTGTAACAAAATAATATTGCTTCATTATGAAATGTAGAAGACTGCAAGCAATCCAGTGTCTATTTTTAGTAGAATAAATAAGTCTAATCCTACAATAGAATTCTATATGCAATGAAAACAGACAAACTCTGCCGCATACAGCATCAGTGAATCTTGCAACACGATGTTGAGCAAAAGAATCTAGACACAAGAGTTATTTCTATTCTATGATTTAAAAGCAGACAAATCATGATAGAAGTCAAAACAATGATTTTCTTTGGGACAGGATAGTGACTGGCAGAGGTACAAGGGGAGGGCTTCTCTTGTGTCGGTAATGTTATGTATCTTGAACAAATGTGTTCAATTTACAAAAATTTACTGAGCTGTACATTTCTGAATTCTGCACTTCTCTGTATGTTTTACTTTATTTTTCTATAGTGTCATACACTTAAAATGGTTAAAGTTGCAAATTTTATATTCTATATATATGCCACAATAAAAAATGAATAATGTAAAGTGTATAAAACAGTGTCCAGTATACAGTAAGCACTTAATAAATGGTATCAATTTTCTTAGCCTGGGTTCCCTAGGAAACAGAGTTTGAGGCAAAAACTTAGGTGCTAAGACTTTACTGATAAGTCCAATCCTAGGGAAACAAGAATGATGGAAGAAGGGGGAGAGGCAGTCAAGAACAGAAAATACATGGAAATGCATTACCAAGCCAGCCACAGCTTTACAACATCAATTAGAGTGCCTCCATCTCTTCACTGATGTCCATGAAGCTACTGCGTTTCTCAGTTATCTCTCTGGGTGAGGAAAGAAGAATTTACCATCTAGCTCATGTCTCTATGTATCAAAGTTTGTTCCATGAGGAAGTGACTCCCTCACACTTCCAAGTTACATGTGCATCTCCTCAGCTACATGGAGTTCCCAAGGCAGAAAATGCCAGGCATGTGACATAGGCATCATCCCAGATTAGACCCACCCTCAACAAGAAGTTCCTGGAGCAACCACAATGAGACCTTCTGTTTGTAGGAACAAGAAAGAACAACTGTCTTCCCCAACCATTTTAAGCACAAGCTATTACTAGGGCCACTCTAGCCAGAACACAATGTACATGCATGATTCTGTGTGGTGTATGAACTCAATCCAGTCAGTTCAGCCCTTGCTTCATTCGGAGCCACATGCATCCTCTTACTGCATCTGGTATCAAAGAGGTCCATAAAGAGAAAAGACAGACAAAATGGCAGAGAAATTCTTTGATGAACTAATGGCTGGAAACTTCCCTAATCCAGGGAAGAAAACAGATATGCAAGTCTAGGAAGTCAAGAGAGCTCCAAAAAAGATGAACCCAAAGAAAAACACACCAAGAACATTATAATTAAAATAGTCTAAGTTAGGGATAAAGAGAAACTCTTAAAAGTAGCAAGAGAAAAGCAACATATTATGTCTAAGGGAAAACCCATACAGCTATCATAATTTTTTTACCAGAAAATTTACAGACCAGAAAGGAGTGGCATAACATATTCAAAGTGCTGAAAGGAAGAAAACTGCCAAGCAAGCATTATCCCCCTTGCAAGGTGCTCATTCAGAATTGGAGGGGAGAGAGCAAGAGTGTTCCAGAGAAGCAGAAGCTAAAGGAGTTCACCACCACTAAACCCACCTTACAAGAAATGGTAAGAGGACTTCTCTAAGCTAAAAAGAAAAGGCACTAATTAATAATAAGAAAACCTTTGCAAGATATAATCTAGCTGAAAAAAATAGGAGAGTAGGGTTCTCACCACAAGAAAAAAAATTGTTAACTGTATGTGGTGATGAAGGTTAACTAGACTTACTGTGATCATCATTTCACAGTATGTTCATATATTAAATCATTATGTTGCACACCTGAAATTAATATATGTCAAAAACAATTTTAAAATCACTTATGTTTCTGTAACAAAAAAGTCAGAAATTGAAATAAAGCTATCATTTTCATACCGTCAAAAAATATGAAATACCTAGAGATAAATCAGACAAAAGGAGTAGATCTATAAATTAAAACCACAAAATATATTTGAGAGAAAATAAAAACTAAGTAGACACATACACTCTATTCATCAGTCACAATACTCAATATTGTTAATATGTTAGCTTCCTCTAAATTGCTGTATGACTTTAATACAATATGAACTAAAATTTGTTGAAACTGACATGCTACTTCTAAAATCTGTATTAAGTACAAGGACCCAGACTAGCCAAAACAATATTGGAAAAGAACACAGTTCCTCAATTTTTAAAAAGAACACAGAAAAATGAACAATAATTTATTTCAAGATTTTTCATTGAGATAATGGTTGGTTGTAAAAATAGATATATCAGAGGAACAGAACAGAGAGTACACAAATAAACCTACACACATATGAACATTTGTCTTTTGACCAAGATACAAAGGCACTTCAGTGGAGAAAATATAGTTTGTTTTTACAAAAGTTGCTGGCAAAAATTAAATATTCATATACAAAAGAAAAAAAACCCTTCAATTTATGCATTTCACCATATACAAAATTTAACTTAAAATTGATCAGTCATAAATGTAAAGCCTAATGACAGAAAATTTCCATAAGAAAACATAAGATTTTCTAAGAGAAATCTTTGTGATCTTGCTTTAGGCAAAGATTTCTGAGACATGATACCAAATGCACAATCCGTAAAAGGAAAATTTGATGAATCATACTTTATCAAAACAAAAAACTTTTGCTCTTTGAAAAGCAAGCCACATACTTGGTGAAAATATTTGCAGAGCATAAATCTAATAAAGGATTTGTATCCAGAATAAAGAAATCAACTAAAAAATAAGGCCACCCACCTTTAAAATTGGGCAAAACATTTGAACAGATATCTTGCCAGGAAAGATGTATGGGTGACAAATTAGCACACAAAACTATGCTTAATATCATTTGTCATAAATCCAAATGAAAAATCATGATGAGATACCACTACATACCTAGTAGAATGGCTAATACTGAAAAGACTGACCATACCTAATGTGGGTAAGATGTGGAGCAACTAGCTCTCACATGACACCAGTAAGAGTGTAAACTTGTGAATCACCTTGGACCACAGTATGGCTTCTTAAAATGTCAAACATATGCCTATTGTCTGATCCTCCACAATTAGACATTTACCCAAGAAAAAGGCAAACATACATGCAGGCAAACATTTGTATGCCCGTGTTCGTAGTATTATTTGTAATAGCCCCAAACTGGAAAAACTCCAAATGTCTATTAACATTTGAATGGAATGGATAAATGAATTGTGGTATTTTCATAAAGTAGAAAAGGACTAAACAATAAAATAATGAATCACTGATTCACACAATATGGGTGAATCTCAAAATTATTATGAGTGAAAGAGAGCTGATAAAAAAAAGGAGTACATAGTGCATGATTCCATTTATATAAAGTCTAGAAAATGCAAAGTAAGCTATAGTTACAGGAAACATACCAGTGGGTCCTGGAGACTGGTAGGGGTGTCAGGGTGGGGTGAGACAGGATTACACAGAAGCACAGGGAAACATTTGAAGGTTAAAGATAATGTTTGCTATCTTGACTGTGGTAAGAGTTTCATGTGTGTATAAGTATGTCAACATTGATTAAATTGTACACTTCAAAAATGTACCATTATTGCATGTCAATATACTTTTTAAATAATTAAACTTTTAGAAAATTAATTTATGCAACACAGGTATAGCATGATAGCCATCACTACTCCTTGTGCACTTATGACCTCTATTGTAATGGACCATCACTCACTGTGTTAAGCCTAGGCTGGACCTCATCATTTTTCTTAACATTGCTCCTTTTCTGAGCTCTTTCACCCTATCTCAGGAAACAAGGGCAGGGGGGAAGGAAAGCTACCTATGTAACCTGACATCAAAATATTGTGATTTCTATCTTCCACTAGTTTTATATGTAAATATGATGACAGTTTGGCTAGTGTGCTCTTCCTTTTACTGAACATTTTAGCCTATGTTACTTTTAGGACTCTGTGCTGCAAGAAACAAAAACCCCAATCCAAACTGGCCTAAGTTAACAGGGGGGTGTGCTGGCTCTGGGCCTGCATAGTCCAAGGCCTGGGAACGGTCTGAGCCAGAGGCTTCACCACGCGGTCCGGACCTTGGCTCTGCTTCTCTGCAGTTCTCAGCTTTACCAGCTCCCTGATGGAGGCTCTGTCCTCAGCTCAGTTTTCTGAGTCTTTACCATGCAGGAGGATCTCTTGCGGTGGTGCACTCAGGAAGGGAAAAGTGCTGGGGAAGAGAGCCTCTCGCCCACATCTCCTCGGCCCAGCTGGTTCTGTGTTCATTCCTGTACTGAGTCCTGAGGCCAGATGGAGAGGTTGTGCTGACTGACCTAGCCTTTCGGGTCCTGTCCTTGAAGGTGACAACAGAGTTAGCATCCTCTGAGCACATGGACAGGTGGAGGTTTGAAGGAGATACCAAACCACAACTAAGGATCTGTGACTGAAAGAAAGGAGAGCAAATGTTGGGAAACCCAAACCGCAAAGATTCACTTTAATGGTGCCGTATCTACTCTTTTATGTTATAAATATGGTGCACATGTAGGAGATATATATATATATTTTCATACATGAA